CCCTCCCTCTCAATCATGCTATTTGGGACTTGTATACCCTAGTCTCACACATAAAGGCCACTGTCTCATTACTTAATTTCGAACAGAAAAACTACCATTCAAGAAAACAATCTGAAAGGATCTCAAGCAATGCTTGTTTTTGTTCTTCACAAGGTCACTTTGAGGGAATGGATGATAAAGGAGGTAAAGAAATTTAAGAGCAGGTTGAGTCCTTATTCTCAAGTATGACTTCATTATCCAAGCGTTGAAATTACACAATCTTAGAAAAACCACAGTTCAGAGATGCATGTGGCTTTACATAAGCCCTTTGAAAAGCACTGCAGAAAGCTGTATCGCAAGTAATTAAAATGTGGAGTGCATTGCCTCAGAATGAGGACTAATGTGGCGTCAGCATATTTTTTAAAGGTGCGTTAGGAATGACTTGCCGAAGAGTTAGTGATGTGCCCCGGACTAGATAATTACGGAGTGGACCCGCCGTACACAGACACTGATGCGAAAGATGCACGTGAAGGGATTTAAAAACTTGCTTCATAAAATGTGAGAATGGAGTCATGTTTAGGAGTTTAAAATATTGAAAATTAAGTGAGATTTTCAATGTATATGTGTGACAATAGGTTAACTATCCTAAGTATACATTATAATACAATTATCCAATTGTACATGCAGCTTGGCCAAAACTTTTTATTGGGACAATGAAGATGTCTTTGTATTTAAGGTCACCTTATACTTGGGCACATGCGGTTTTTACTACTCTGATGATTTGACTAAGACCCATCTCCCTGAGGATACTGATTGCCACAAGGGCACAGCAACTCTCTAGCCTGACTTCTCTGTTGCATCTGTGGCATTTCACACTGGATATATTGTCTGAGACATAAGATAAAAATATTACTTATTTACACAATTGCATGACCTAGAAAACTCCGGAGAAGCCAGAGCAGAAATTTTAATAGAAAGCATTTCCGTAAGATATTTTCATACCTTTAGTTCTAGTGTTAAGATGAGAAGAATCTTTTTCCCTCTTCAAAAATGTAGAATATATTTCTTTTTTTCCCCCTCTTTGCAAAACAAATGGTTCACATCTATGCTAAGATATTTCTGGGGTCACTATTACAATTTACAAACTAGGTTCAAAAAAGCCATTCTGGTGGGAGTGAGACCTAACCATGAGAAGAGTTGTAACAACTACTACTTGCTGAGCAGTCACATCCAGCATTGTGTTGATCCTGCAGTGATGCTAAGGAGTTAGCGCTTTTCTCCATTTCATAAGTAGGGGAAGCTGAGGCTCCTGAGCTTAGCAGCCACCCTGCAGCATCTCACTCAACTCCCATGATAATTTCATGACTATCATTACCTCTGTTTTACAGATGAGAGGACAGAGGCCCAGAGTAGGTAAGGTTAAAAAACTAGAGAGCAAGGGTGCCAGGGTAGCTCATTGTGAAGAGAAGAGTCAGGGAGAACTTGGGAAATGGGCTGATTGCAGGGTGTTAGTGATGTGTTACTGAGATCACTTCTATTTGTCCCTCTATTTGCTTTCCCAGTTAATTTCCCCAGTAGACTAGCCACTGTTTTAGTCATTTTCATAATTCCTATTCACTGAATCTTTTTCTTTCTCATTGAGTTTATTGGTACATTTTAGGGATACAGTACAGTTGCATTCATCATTGGGATCTTGTACCTTTACATGACAGGCCTTGGTTCCCTTTTTTTCCCCTTGTCCCTTCCCTCCCTTCCCTCCCTCCTCCCTTCCCTATTTACAAATACTTTATTTCCATTTTTTCATTTTCTCATGTTTTTTTTTCTTTTCCCTTATTACCTTTCTCCTACCCTTCCCACTTTCCCTACACCTTTAGCCCTTTTCTTCCTATTTCATGTTGTCAATTATCACATTAGGATCTTATGTACAATTATAGTTTTTCACACCAGAGAAACTATTCGGTATTTATACATGTATTCACTGAATGTTTAAAGGAAACATTTAGCTACTGCAGCCAGTGTGCATAAGTTGATTACATAATAGGAAGGGGACAAGCCAGGACTGGAGACTTAATTTCTAAAGAAGGCTTTTAAAGCCGACTAAGAGCTATTTCACAGAGCAGGTCATGACGCCTGAGTCTCTCTGTGCCTTTTCATCACTATGACGACAGGCTGCTCCTGTGTCACATCCAGGAAAAGCAGCTGACATCTCAATGCTAGGAACAGAGGGGAGAGCTTTACAAAAAACAAAAAACACAAACAACTCCTTTCCTTTGAGTTTCAGTGAGAGAGGCAAAAATATCCCCGAGAGGAAGTCAAAACCCCTATTCTTGCCTTCAGAAAAGATCTGAAAGGGAAAATGTTGGGGGCCTTCTCCCCTGTCCAAGTAGGCCAAGAAAGCAGGAGACACCGCAGAGAAGCCTGTCTCCTTCGCCTCATGCAGGCTGGCTGAAAGCTCCTTGGTTTCATTTGACTTGCCTGTTAGGAATCTGCTAATAGAAGGAGCAATAAAGGCTCTGCGTAACAAATGCCTCCCGCCGAGGGCCCCAGGGGAGTCCAGGAGGGCCAGATTGATCTCTACATTTCTCTGGATTAAAAAGCCAACTCAAAGAGTATTTCTTTCTTGAACTCCCACTTTACTTCCAGAAACATCATTCTAGCTGCATACCCCACTGATAGATGAATTTCTTTATGAGCAACCAATACCATTTCCTATGTATCAAACAGCCTGTCAGGGCACTATGCTTGATACTTGAAACATATCTCACTTGAGTCTTATGATGGATGGGTTGCCCGTTCTGCTTTATAGGTGGGTAAACTGAGTCCTGGAGGTCTGAAGTGACTGCCCAGGCTCATAGAGGCAGGGTCAGGCTCCAGGCAGGGGTGCTGGCCTCTGAAGTCCCTGTGCTGTCCACTCTGCTGAGCTGGCTCTGAGGCCTCGACTTGGCATGGGCAACTGTTGTAGAGCAAAATGTGTGCCTTTCGATAGGGACATAGAGCTAGGCCAATACTTCGTATTAGCTGTGATTGACTACTTACTAGGTCTCAGGCACAGCTGCTGCTTTCACTTAATTCTCATATCAAGTATCTGCAACATCAACAATCCTTATTCCACAAACGAGGGGACTACAGCACAGAGAGGTTAGGTCCTCTGCTCAAAGTTATAGAGCTATTTCATGGTGAAGTCCAGGTATAAACCAGATCTATATGGTCGCATACAAACCAAAGCCCATGGTCTTACTTTACTGTTCAGCTCCAGACCTTCAGCACAATCAGTCAGGACCACATGCTCTGTTTTCCAGAATTCTGGCCATTTTTAGTGCCTATGACAAAAGCCAGGCTGGCTCTCAGCAGAAGGAAGACACCCCATAAGGTCCATAAGAACCAGACCGGGGTCCTGCCGGGCATCTGCCTCTTAGGCAGCCAGTCATCTTGGACTTAGGGGACCTCAGAGTGACATGTGAGAGTAACACACACTCCAAGTCTCTTAAGTTAGGTTCTTCTTGATGAACAAATGTACTCAACGTGGATTGGTCACTGTGTGGAACTTAATAAAAATAATAGTCAAGAGGAAATGAAGTGAATCGCCTGGATAGATCACTGTGCAGTTTCATTTCTGTCATCACTATTTATTGTTTTTCCTTAGTTGACATGTGAAACTGTACTATGAGAAGTTCTTGAGTTAAACCCTAAGGGACAAGGAAAAGAATCCCCAGTGTTCTAGTTGCTCTGAGGCTGTACAGAATGTCTCTGAAAGAACAAGGCAAGATTCATGAGAAATATGTATGTTCCTTTCCAAATCATGGAAGGCAGCATTAGTTGACTGGATGATAAGCAGATAAAATAGACTGCTTTGCTTTGCTAGATTTTGTTGCATGATCAGGCACATACACTCATACCTGTCCCCAGAAGGATGTCTGTCCAGAAAATGTACAGCATTAACCATAGTTAAAAATCATCAAGCTATAACTGAATGAGCTGCGAATGGAAAAAGCTGGTATCCATGAGAACGGGGAGAATTAAAAAAATATGTTTTGCTGAGCTGGACTGAATGAACATCTCTAATCAGTATGCTGAGGCCCTCGGCCAGAGGAGAGCACAGAGACAAGGCCAAGGTGACACTGTTCACCTCTCTGCAGATGAAGGCAAGGCCAGCGAGCGGCTACTCCTGCTTTGCCTTGTGGTGTGCACTTTCAACAGTATCGATCAGCAGTGGAAAGCAGGGTTTAACAGCAGGAGGAATGAGTGAGCAGTATTGCCATGTGGTGAGAGAGTGGAAATGATAGTGCCCTCATGGAATAAGAGTAATAAAATCTCCTTCGCTCTTTAATTCTCCTTCCCCCGTTTTGTTTTTCTATGTAAGATATCGTTAGGAATTAGGGAAATTTTATGTCTATAGCGGTTGTCTTAAATAATAGTAGGAGATAAAACCCAATTATTTATATGGCTATAAAAAAGAATGAGGGAAGAGATTACTCAAAATAACTTAGAAATGTTTAGTATTTTAGGGATTTTCCTACCTCTGAGGAAAGCAAAATGTTCCATTTGTATACTGCTGTTAGGTACAAATGGATTTAATGATGGTGATGAAAAACTTCCGATAATTTAAACATGGAAACCATAAATTATTTGATTTGAAGCCTTTAAAAACTACTTTCTCTATGGTTTATTTGTGTATTTAACATAGCGATTCTATAAAACCCATCTCAGGATTTAGGATTTCCCAAGATCTGAATGCTACTTGGGCTAACAACAGTTCTACATTTCTATTCTTAGTCTTTACTAAAACTATCATTTATTAATATTCACTATTTAACCTCAGAGTTAGTGAACAGAAACATGAATACAATTAGTAAAACTCCCTATTAAGTAGCTTTTCTATAAATCATGTAAGATATTTTTCTTTTTGTAAATACGTGGCTTTGTCTTTTGTAGGCAAAAATATTAAAACAGTTTTGTTAGGTTATGCAAATCAGTTTAACAAATGCAATTACACAACACAGTAAATCTATTCCAATTTTTACCTTCAGGTAGGTGGCTGGACCCAGAGCCTCGGCAGAAAATTGAAGTTGGATCTCCTCTTTGCACACAGCCAGGAAATAAAAGTTTGATAAAAGCCCAAGAGAAACTCTTTACATCCCTTCCCTTGTTAGCTCTGCTTCTTTGCCCAGAAGCAATCAAGACCACTGGAGTTGAAATTCTGCTGCCCTTTCAACTAGTCAGGGTCTGCAGTGACAGACGAGACTTTGGAGGTTGGCACTAGTGAGGATTTCAGACTGTCATCGATTTTGCTGCAGATTCCTGCCCTTCTCTAGCAGCGGGGCTCGGCTCGCTCTGCCGGCAGAGCAAACCCAAAGGGAAGGGAAATCTAATTCTGCTGGCATGCAGGGAGTTAACAGCCCTCCCTCACACTCTCGTTCTTGCAGGCTTATAACTTGGCCAGGATATAAGCCGTTGGCTCTTTATGCAATTTTTCTTTTTCGCACAACTCTGAAAGGTTTTATGAGCAGGATCTCTTCTGTGGGATTTTTATTTTAAGACCTTGAAAAGAAACTTCATGCTGTTGTTTCTTCCTAAAGGCAACTGGGGAGTCGAGGTTAAAGAAGAGAAGGATAATTGCACCAGATGCATTTTTATGCTGTGCAATTGGAAATTGTTCTCACAGACACAGCCAGGATTTTATAGCAGAGTACTTCAGCTACTTGAACATTTCTAGGAGCAAGATTTGGAAATGTAGGTTTGGATAGACCACTGGTCTGCCTATTCAGGGATACTGCAGTTCTTAGCCTGTTCTCTCCTCCACACAGCTGTCTGCCATGACACAGTAAGGTCCATAGAGGACTCAAGAGTCCTTAACAAGACTTTCTCTTGTGAAGCAGACTGGCGGTGTATGCTTAGTTTTGACATGGCATTCTGGTTATTTATGTCATCTCTTCTGCATCTATTGCATATTTATGATGTGTCAGACACTGTGCCGACAGCTTCTTATGCATTGTATCAGTCAAATTCCCCCTGGTCTATCAGAGGTAAGGTTTACTGTGTTCCCATCTGAGGGTCTGTGTAGCACCCTGGTTAGGTCTGCAGATTTCAGCCCAGGCAGGCTGAATTTGCACTGTTGACTTTCCTACTTCTAAGCTGTATGACCTGAGGCAAGTTTTATAAGCTAAGATTCCATGTCTTTATCTACAAGATGGGGCTTCAACTATGGAAATGATGAGAGTGTTTATCTCAGGCAGTTGTTCTGAATGTTAAGTAATTTACTACAAGAAACTGCACAGAACACCCTTGGCTACCTAGTAGGCACTCAATAAATATTATTAGCTACTGTGGTTTGTAGAAAAGGAAATGAAAGCTCGGGAAGGCTGTGCAGTTTTTCCAGTCTCCAGCTGTAACTAGTAGTGTGGGATTCTGAGCTGGATACTTTGGTGGATGGTCACACTTGCATGTCACTCAACTATAGCACCTCTTTCCAAGCAGGCTGTTGAACCCCTTTGAAGGTACAGGATGTATGTCTTCTCTGTCCTCCAGATGCCTAAGTGCTCTGCCTGCTGCAAATGCTCCTTTAATTCTGGATCAATACTGATAATTTAGTATAGTTTAGATTTTCCAAATGTATGCCAAAGTCCAGCAAAAGTGAAACAAACTAGTAAAAGCAACACCAGATAAAGCGAAAATTAATCAAAACCTGGGTTATCGTTTTAAGTAAATATATCCTCTGCCAAATCTCTCTAAACACCTTAGAAACATTTGCCTTATTTATTTTCAGAACTCTGCAAGAGAAAGGTAACAGAAATTATCTCTATTTTGCAGTTGGGGAAATTTGGGAGCAGAGGAAACTGGGCAATTTGCCTGGGAACCAAAACACAAGTCACAGTGCAGCTGGGAACAATCTCAGTGTTGAAGATCAGGGTTACTTACTCCAAACTGCCTTTCCAGGGACAGGATGAAAGGATGTGATGTCCTTGTGGCTCTGACAATAGGATGTTTTTCCTTAGCCAAGGTCCACCGTGTGAGCAGTCTCCTTGGAGGAAGGATGAAGGGCTGGGCTGTGTTTGTCTTGCTTCTCCCTGGTCACCATGCACATCTGGTCATAGAAATGTGAAAGAAGCAGATGCTGTTTCTCCCATTGTCTCCTCAGGGGCCTGGGGGAGGTGAGAACATTGCAGGGTAGGTAGGAAAAAAATTTTGTTGAAGTTGTCTGAAGGATTTTCCCAGGGCTCTAAAATATTAATTTCTGATTTCAACTAGCATTTGCTATTTATTTGAGATGCCTTTGGGAGGTTGAATTCAGGTAATAACATCAAATCAGTGAAAACAGAGATTTTAGCTAGAGAGCTATGGAAAAGATATTTGACCAACTAAAATATTTTTTTGTAACACTAAAGTTCACGTATTTCTATGAAATGATCAAAATAAAATTTCATATAGATGTCTGTTTTACATAAAAATAATTTTGTTAAAGCAAACTAGATTCTTGTTATAAATGTACTTATGTATATAGAGTTCATTTGTACAAAGCAAAACTTGAGAATTTTTATTTTCCACTTTACAGGATGTTTTCTTACTCTAAATGGTTACAAAGATCCACTGTATTACTTATAACGAGAGAAGAGAGAAAAATGATTAGTAAGAACTGAAAGAGTTTTAAACTCACATCATCTTTTAATATGACTTTATTTTGGGACTGTTCATTGGCAGGTTCCCAGAGTTTTATTGTTTCTGAACCTGTGATTTCTAAAATAGTTTACAGCTCATTCTTCTGAGAATAATAGCTGCCTCCCAGATGGAGATGTAGATCAGATTTAGAAAATATATACAATCTTTAAGTGTAATGGGAGTATTTTGATAAAGAATTTACTCCATCCCTATCTACGAACTCACCCACGTATCAACTTGCTTAGAGCATTCTAAGCTGAAACTTTTTTTAAAAACCCTTTAGTGTTGAGGTTCCCTTTGAAAATTTGTTGAGAGCTGTGGGCAAACATTTGAAGGCCATCTATGAACCAGCCCCTGACTCCTGCCTTCATTCAGGGTTTCTATGAGGCGAAGAGCCTCTCAATCAGGAGAGGAGCAACTCAGCCCGCAAGATCTGTCTTTTTTTTTTTTTTTTCAGCTTTGAGTTTATTGGTACATTTTAGGGATACAGTACAGTTACATTCATTGTTGGGATCTTGTACCTCTACATGACAAGTCTTGATTCTTATTTTTTCCCCTTACCCCTGCCCTCCCTTCATTCCCTCCTCTCACTGTGTCTTAAAACCCTTGATATTTAATTCTTGCTTCCAAGGCTCACACTCGGGTTAATTTTGACTTAGGTACTAACCTCTGCCTGTACAGTCTCTCACAAATGCCAGTACTACTCCTGTATCCGGGCACTGAAAGATTTCAGGTTTCTCACCTCAGCCTTGGCTATCGACCCCTAGGTCAATTTCTGACAATGGGGGTTTGTACCAGCCCAGCCCCTCTATGGGACCAGTCACATTCTCTATCGGGTCTTAGGCAGAAGTTTGTCACACAGGAGGCAATAAACAACAGAGTATCAAAATGTACACAATGCTTTGTTAAATTAAATGTGACTAATGCAATTAACTACTTTCCCTAATAATATTCTTATCCCTCCTCTCACTGTGTCTTAAAACCCTTGATATTTAATTCTTGCTTCCAAGGCTCACACTCGGGTTAATTTTGACTTAGGTACTAACCTCTGCCTGTACAGTCTCTCACAAATGCCAGTACTACTCCTGTATCCGGGCACTGAAAGATTTCAGGTTTCTCACCTCAGCCTTGGCTATCGACCCCTAGGTCAATTTCTGACAATGGGGGTTTGTACCAGCCCAGCCCCTCTATGGGACCAGTCACATTCTCTATCGGGTCTTAGGCAGAAGTTTGTCACACAGGAGGCAATAAACAACAGAGTATCAAAATGTACACAATGCTTTGTTAAATTAAATGTGACTAATGCAATTAACTACTTTCCCTAATAATATTCTTTGAAACAAAGGAAATAAAAATAAAATGGTAAAGACAGGTTAGGACTAGGTACATTTTAGATGGCAGACTAAGCAGTTTAACCTTTGTACATTAGGCAAAGAGAGAGCTCTGGAGAGTTTTCCTGGTGATGGTTAGGAAATGCAGGAAATACCAGGATATGTTATGCCGCAGTAACGGAGAACTTGAAAAATATCAGAGATTTATTAAATAAAAGTTTTCATTGTTGTTTTATTTTGCTTTAGACACTCTGTTTATTACAGATCTGCTTCAATTTTGTTGCATGCTTTCACTCTGGGATCCAGGCTGATGGAACAGTTCCCTTGATAAAAGCAAAGAAGATATGGAAAATTATGTTTGGTTCTTAAAGCTGCCTAGGTGTGCTATACATCATTTCTACCTGCATTTCATCCATGAAAGCAAGTCATGGAAGTGCTGACTTCAGTGGAATGAGGAGGCGTGTTCCTCCTACCTAGTGCAGGAACCATAGGCAAAAGAACCAGAAAATAGATTTTAACAGGGAATGGGAATATAAAAGACACTTTTGAAAAAGTAATAGGGAAAAAAAAGAAGAAAAGAAGATAGAACAGGCAGAAGCAAAGTTTTACAAAGGAGGGGAGAGAAGAAATAAAGGGAGGAGAGTAAACAGAAATAGGGAGAAAAAAAGAAGAGGCAGCTCTATAAAATACAAATAAATAATTGAGGGAAATGTGACAATAGAAATATAAGCATCAACACACAAAACATGTAAGGAATTCAAATAACTAAACAGGAATAAGAAAAAGACCTGATTAAAAGATGGTTAAAAGATTTCAATAAACATTTCTCCAAGGAAACTTGCATATGACCAACAGGTTGTGAAAAATGCACAATGTCACTAATCATTAGAGAAACGTGAATCAAAACCACAGTGAGATCTCATCCCAGGTAGGGTGGATATTTTCACTGAGACAAAAGATAGTACTTGCTGGTGAGGACGTGGAGAAGAGGAAACTGATTGTTGGTAGGAACATAAATTAATATAGCCATTCTGAAAAAGTGAGGAAGCTCCTCAAAATGTTCCAAACAGAATTACCAAGTGACCCGGCAATCCCAGTGCAGGCATATAGCCAAAGGACTTGAAATCAGTGCATTGAAAAGTCATCTGCACTTCCTTTGCAGAACTATCCACAACAGCTAAAATATGATTAGCCCAAATATCCACTGTCTTAGTCAGCTCTCATGTCACTGGAACACAATACCTGGCATCTACAGCTGGCTGGAGGAGAGGTTTACTTTGGCTCACGTTCAGTTGAGATTTAGTCCATGGTCCGCTGGCTGTAAGGCACTGTGGCAGAAGGGTGTGGTAGAACAAAGTGCTTAATTCACAGAGGTCTGGAAACAGAGCAGGAGACCAGCAGCAGACTACATAACAGGGACTATATACAG